CTCCGCCAACCTTCTATAATAAACCCGCCACTTGCACTTTCGGTCATGACATGCAACTGTCACAACCGATGAATTAGACTTTTTGGTGATGAACTCAAAATTACCTCTCACGGCAACAAGTTTTAGCTTCCTCACCACTTCCTTTTTGTTGTCAAATAAATACCCTATGCGCAACTCCGATCCATCCGTAAAAACATGAGTTGATTCACCTGCAATTACCCCCTCTGAACTTGCATAAAGGACCATAATGTTCTCTTCCTTACAAACTACACCTTCTGCATAATATGTATTTAAAGGAATCTCTACATCAGCGGGAACATGTACGGGGTCCTCCTCCTCAACATTTTCATTCTGCCGCACATGACCAACCTCTTCTACAGTGTCTACCTCACCACCCAAATCACCGCCTACTCTTGATTTTTCAACTAAGAAATCAATGCCCTCGTAGTTCAAATTAAAACCAACATTCTCTCTGCCAACTTCCTCATTATCCCCTTCTTTTGAACCAACTTCCAACGATTTATCTACAAAAGAAACCCTTAAAATTAGCCTCGAACCATTATCGCCCACATCAATCATATATAACTTCGCACCTTCATCCGACTTGAATATAGCATGAGGTACCTTATAATGTTTAGGAACTATGTTTAAAACATATATCACTACGTGAGCAATTCAAATCACCTCTTCTAATTATTTCATCAAAACTAACCTCTGTGCTCACAGCAATTAGTATAACTTATTTGCTCTTCCCAATCCATTTCCAGCAACTTTCTTCCTCCACCCACTCACCAAAATATTCAACACCTAAAACAACTTGTCCCATGTCTAATAATAGTCAAGTACCTATAATGCAAGAAAAAAAATATTATTAACTGATGTATTAAGGGTTGAAAGATTTTAAAAAGCATCTATAGAGTCGCTTGAGCGATCGGGTGTATCGCTTAAGCAATCTAGTGTATTGCTTAAGCGATCTAGTATATCGTTTACTAGATCGCTTAAGTGATCTGGTATAAATAAGCTTGATCACTTAAGCAATCTTCTGCCATTTACCTGATCGCTTAAGCGATCTGCTGCCATACACCAGACTTATAGCAGGTCGCTTAAGCTATCTTCTGCCATTTACCTGATCGCTTAAGCGATTTGCTGCCATATACCAGACTTATAGTAGATCGCTTAAACGATCTTCTGCCTTATACCTGATCACTTAAGCGATATACGATCTACTGCATTATACCAAACATATCAGATTGCTTAAGCGATCTATCATATCCAGAACACATTTTCAGTCATCTTCACCTACAATCGGTGCTACCACCCCTAGCTACCCACAATGCAATAAAATATTCAACAAATTTCACTCCTTTCAACTTGCATTACATCAAACACAATCCAACAACCTAAACAACTAAATCAAAATCATAGCTCAAACCCAATCCATCATTAAATCTTTGTAAATCGAAATATAAAATGGAAATGGGAGATACACATACCTTGTCGAAATGTCAGGAGGAGGAGGATAAGGATTTGTGGCGGAGAAGATGTTAATGGCGGAGGAAGAAGATAGTGTTAATCGCGGGAAGAAAAAGATGTACAAGAAGGAGGAAGAAGAAGATGTAGACGAAGCTTAGAAGAAACAACAACAACAAGGGGGGAGGGATGCGTTAATGGTGGGACAAAGAAGAAGGTGTTTGGGTTTGTTTGCAAGAATTTTGGCTCTTTAGGGACATATTGTAATTTTTAAAAGATTACACAATACTTCATTAATCCTAATTAACCACTAATCATGCTTAATTAACCTTAATCAATAATAAGGTTATTTACTTAACATTTTCAAACTACATGGCCTTTTAATTAAATTTGAACTTGATTTGGCCTTTTAATAAAATGCCCTTGAAATTGGGTTTTGTTTTTCTTGTGTTTTTGCTTGTGTTTTTGTTGTACAAATTTAATTAGGCGTTTTAGTAAAACCCTATAGTTTTCACGAAATCATTGTATCACCTGTCAGTTTTAAAAATATAACTCTAGCCCCCATTCCATTCAATTTTATTAATAAAAATTCGTTAACTATGAAAATGGCCTTTTTACCCTTAAATCAATATCTTATAATCGCCCCAAACTAATTAATTTTACATTCATTAAGCAAACTTTACAAAATTTTGTTATGTATGTAACAAACTTTAAAAAAAAAATCTTATTTATCTGACCAAAATTTAATCAATTTTTTTCAATTTACAAACAAAACCTCAGCCATCCATAAATCTTATTACATCACAAATTAACCTTCTTTTTTTTTTTTTTTTTTGGTAGCCGAGTTATCTAAACCAGCTTGCACATACCTCAATGAATCATCAGAATCCATTAAACATCCTTAATTAATCCATTTAATTAAACCTTTAATCCACATCTAAAGATCAAACCTGAAATTACTTCTTTAAATCTCTAAGTCGAACTCTTATTTAAAAGGGTGTTTATTTTTCAAAGCCTAATTAGGTGTGTGGTTTTTTTATTTTTTATTTTTTATTGCTTTTGCTTTAAATGTAGCTAAACAACTTTGGCGCCAATGCAATTATCAATTGAGATGATCGGTGATAGGCATAAAGCCTATAAAAAAGGTTGAGCAATCGCAGAATATAGGCCCCAACCCAATGTTTTAGAACAAGAGTAAACGACATTTTCCCACCCAAGGTTTGGCGAATCTATAGTTCTCACCCATGGTTTCATAAATTACAGATTCTCATTCTTAAATTAACATAAAACTATTTAATCTAATAGTTATAAGGGTAAAATGGTCATTTCAAGATGAAAATTTCAAAATAACCCTTCACTTCTCAAATTCACCTCACTGAAAAATTTTAAAATAACCCTTAACTTCTCAAATTCACCCCACTGGTGATTTCAAGTCATTCTGGTCTGTTCCCGATGCAGTCGACTCCTCTTGACACCACCATTACAATCCCCTTAGCTCCCACATCAAAGCCCCTAACATCCACACCTGATTAAACCCTCCAATTGCCGATCGTCGCTCTTAGTTTCAGTTGGCGTTTCATCCAAATTTCAGTAGGTCCCAACACTAGAAACCACCCCTAACACCACCAATAGCATCACCAGCTTCCCCCCATCAAAACCCCCAACATCGCAGACCGCAATTGCTGTCGATCACCGCAGCCTCTTCTTTAGGTTTTCACATTTTGTCGTGCCTTTCCAACCAAATTCTGGCACCTCGCTGAGGTGCAATTGGGTGGAAAATTTAGGGGTTTTGGTGAGAAGGATAAGGGAATGCTGTCAGGCCAGATTTTTGGCTTGGCCGGGATCTCCTCTGGGGGTTATTTGAGATGTGAGGGTTATTTTGAGAGAAAAGTAACGGTGTTAATTTAAAGGTGAAAATATGTAATTTATGAAACCATGGGTGGGAACTTGCAGATTTGCCAAACCTTGGGGCGGGNTTCAAAATAACGCTTGACTTCTCAAATTCGCCCCACCGGCGATTTCAAGCCATTTCGGCTTGTTCCTGTCGCAATCGACCCCTCTTAACACCACCATTACAATCCCTTCAGCCCCCACATCAAAGCCCCTAACCTCCCCACCTGATTGAACCCCCCAATCGCTGGTCGTCGCTCTTAGTTTCAGTTGGCGTTTCATCCAAATTCCGACAGGTCCCGACACCGGAAACCATCCCCAACACCACCAATAGCATCACTAGCTTCCCCCCATCAAAACCCCCAACACCGCCGACCGCAATTCCTCGCTGATCACCGTAACCTCTCCTTTAGGTTTTCGCATTTTGTTGTGCCTTTCCAGCCAAATTCAGGCACCTTGCCGAGGTGTAATCAAGTGGAAAATTTAGGGGTTTTGGTGAGGAGGATAAGCGGATGCTGATGGTGGTGTTGGAATCAAGCGGTTAGGCCGGATTTTTGCTTGGCTGGGATCTCCTCTAGGGGTTATTTGAGAGAAATTTAAGATGTGGGGATTATTTTAAGAGAAAAGTAACGGCTTTAATTTAAGGGTGGAAATATGTAATTTATGAAACTATGTGTGGGAACTTGTAGGTTTACCAAAACTTGGGTGGGAAAATGTTGTTTACTCTTAAGAACAATTACCCTCGTGCCATGTGCCAATATAAGATAAAATATATGTACATTACACGTATGGACTTTTTACGTAAAACATCATTAAATTCAATGATAATGAATCCAATAATATTTAAACATGATCCTCACAAATTTTAAATAAGGATATTCTTACTAGAGAATTACTCTAATACGAATTATTTTTTACATGTTATAACGTGATATACACATTAAATAGTTGTATGCACTGTTTTAAAACCCGACCCGGCTCAGTCAGTAGAACTGGTTCAACTAGGAACCGAAACCTTTATCAGGTCAGGTTACAAATTTTCCTATTAATTCAAAACTTTAAAAATTAGGACATCAATCTGTGAACATTGAATACTAGAATGTTAAGGTTTTTGAAGAGAAATTGCCAGTGAGTGTAATGGTGGCAACAACATCAATTTCCGGTGAGTGAATCAATCGAAAATCACAAAACAATGTCACCAAAAAAAATCTCGCTATCACCTATGATTGGGGAGGCGAACGGTGGAGGGTGCAATGGGTTTGGGTCAAGAGCTAAGGAGAGTGCTTTCATGGTAATGGAGAGTGTTGTCATTGTCAAAAACAGGCCCTATTTGCTGATGCTAACAGTGGTGTTTAGGGTGTTTTTGCAAAATTTCAAACCTATAGAAACTTATATGTAATTTTCAAAGGTATTTTTGTTAAATTTCAAACCTTTAGACATCGGTTTGGCCCGTCGGTCAAACCAGTTAAACCCGTCAACCCGGGATCCAACCACTTTGTCGACTTTCACCCCGGGTTAGGTTTTAAAACATTAGTTGTATATGCATCCGTTGAATGTTAGAACTTAGAACAAGGACTTTTCCTCTGATGTGGCCACAAGTACGAGAGTCGCTATAAGGAAAATGCATAACAATGCTTAGAGAAATATGATATAGCTACCTTATAAAATGGTACTTGCACTACATCTGCAGTGAATTTTCAAGGCTTCTAAGTTCTAACCACCACACATGAGCTTTAAAGTTTTGACAACAAGAAACAATAAAAAATATGTAAGAAACCACACGGAAACTTCAATAAGGAAAGTCATGGCCCGGACTATCTGCATGCATGTCCATGGATTCAGAACTGGGAGAATTGGCATCCCTGTTCTGATGATGGACATTGTTGGTGTCACTATTCCGAGGACCGTTTCCAGATGACATTTGGTAGCCTCCCTGCGACAAGTGATAGTGTTGAAGGCTGCGGCGAACAGGGCTGGAGAGAGCATTAGAGAAAACTGAGTTCTTCACTTGATGATCTGGTTGTCCGGTACGGACTCCAGGCCCTACAGCCGGTGCACATGGAATAGAAGCAATGGGAACTCCTAGATTATTCAATGCACTTTGGGGATGTTGGTGATGAATAGGCAACCTGGGGGACATCGGAGACTCCTCCACTCCATATTCAAGCTCATTCTACACAAACATCCGAAAACAAGTAATTCAATTTCACCGTGTGAATCAAATTCTTCTATTTGTCTTTGAAGATTTGGAAGATGACAGAAGCAACCAGAAAACAAATAAAAGGTAAATTAATAGAACATAACAAAAGAAAATCTCAGGTATTTCCAAAAAATTATAAAGCCAAACATCATAACTGATCTTCCATAGTCTATTTGAACATCAATCAATGAATATAAAAGATATTAAGGAAGTGTACCCATATAGATAAAATTTATTTCCGAAATACCTTAAAAATGATTCCACAACTATTTGAACATCAATCAATGAATATAAAAGATATTAAGGACATGTATCCATATGGATAAAATTTATTTCCAAAATACCTTACAAATGATTCCACAGCTATGTACAATTTAATTAGTATCCAGCATGAAACATGCATCCAAAATGAAATATCTCATCTCTATATGCCTATAAAATATTTCTCAATGCATTAAGACATCACTAAATGAGGGATAATTAAGAAACCTGCAAATAAGCAACTATATCTACTGTTGTTACTCTTGATCCTTCTTCTTGCTGCCTCAAAATCCATTGATACAGTTTCTCCTGGAATGAAAGGAGGATATCCGTAAGTATATATAGAGCCAATAAAAAAAGGTAAACGCATGGCATCCACCAAAACAGAAAATAACAAGAACAAAGATGTTATAGCCAAAGGCAACATATCAAATGTAAGAGCAGCAATTCATGAGAATCATAAAAGCGGGAAATACAATAACATACTGGAGCCATGGTTTATGCTTTCTATATTTTGGAAATACATCAGTACACACCTCAATTCATGAGAAGGATAATGTTGAAACAACAACATCGAGAAGAGACTGATTCATATACAAGAATAAGGAGAACAGAACACAAAAGGGCATCAAAATAATAAGATACTAAATTGCAAATTCAATCTGAAAGCTAAGAAATCATTTCTTTGTAAGTTATTGAATTAATTAAAAAATGCAACATGAAATATGCTTCATCCACAAGGAAAGTACAATATACTTTTATAAGTCCCTAACGAAATGACTGATCAAAAAGTAAAGAATACATGTACAAGTAAAAAAGATATGGAATTTCCAGGTGAAGAAAAATGTCCAAAACTTTGTAGTTAAGCTTAGGCAGAAAGCAGACCAGGTCAAGAAAAAAGAGGTCAGAAAAAAATGCAGAACCTTAAAAAGAAAATGATTAGCCAATTCCATTACAAGATAAAAATTTGCATCATTTCATTTACAAAATTTATTTCAATATGCATCTTTAAAGCATGAAGGTGACAAATCCGTATCATGTGGCCTGTACCCCGTTTTTCTAGCACCAAGTGGAAGAAAGAGAACTTCCCTGGGTTACCAAAAAAGAGAGAACTTCCCTGCTGGTTATGCATGCAAACAAGAAAGAGATGAAGCTTCACAAATACGGGAGAGAAAGTTGCAAGCAACCAGTGAGACGAACACAGAAGAATTTGTTCTACAACTACTTAAACAAACCAACTCAATTTATTAATTGAACATCATGAATTGGCCCGTAACCAAATTTTGACTCTTTTACAACAGTTACATCATTCTGCATCTCTTTGCCCCATTTTTATTGCGGGAAAATGTTCATGAATTTGAGCAATATAACAAACAAGTGAAAGAATCACTTAATTAAACCCTAAATAATTATGAGTTGCAAAACTTGACATCAAAATCTTAGACATCGGTACAAGTTTCTTAGCAATCCAAACTTGTTTAAACACCCTTACTTACAATATTGCAAAGAATTTATAACAGGAGACTCTTTTAACTAGCACATAAGCCTTCAGCACTACAAGGAATGAGGCATAGTTTTACAGAGATTCTCAAAAACAACATGAATTTGAGAGATGAATCCAAAAAATTTATACATCCAGGCACGTGCACAGAAAGTAATTATTTTTTTCTTCACTTTCAAAATCATAAGTTCTTTTTACACCCAAAAATATAAAAAATAAAAGCTTTGCTAAACCAAGCCAACAGCAACTTCCCAGCTCATTTAGAACAAATTATAAAACATTGAAATATTAAGTTTCCTCATATTTTCTCCTCCATTTTCTTACCAACCAGACAGATACCAGTTCATCAACCAGATAATTAACACAAATAATTAACCCAGCATGGCCAAAAACATGAAATATTAACTTTTGTCGTAACTTCTCTTCCATTTTCTCACCAACCAAACAGACAGAAGCTCATCAACCAGATAATTAACACAGATAATTAACCCAGCATCAAATTGAAAGGCCAAAAAACATACAAATTTCCAATTTTCTCACAAAATCAAAAAAAAATAAAAAAAAATAAAAACAACAACAACAACTTCTTGATAAACCCATAACGCAAAAACAGATATCAGAGAAACCCCATCAAATCAAAACTCATAAAAAAAATTATAATTAAAATAAAAAATAAAAGTTTTATATTACAAATGAAAGCATACCAGCGCGTGGCGCTCTCCGGCCTGAAAGCTGAGGCGCTGGTGGTTCATCGCCTGCGAGTAGAGCTGCGAGAGCGAGTTTGCCGCGCTGCAGAAGGTGGTATACATCGTACGGTCAACTTCATCAAGGCGCGTAGCGTCTGATTTCCTCTTCTTCGCCATGTAAAAAACCCCTCGAAACAGACGCAAACCCTAAAGAGAAATCAAACCCTCTTCACTGTTAGTCGTCTAATTTTCCTAATTTCTTTACTTTTCTCTTGTTGCTGTGAGAGTTTTGTTAGTTTGGCTTGTGTTAATTGCGTGGGCCGTGGGGGCTTGAAAGAGAGAAACAGATGAGTGCTTTGCTTTTGTAGTTTTTTTTTTTTTTATTCTTTTTCTTGTGATTTTGTTTTTGTTGTCGTTGTTGTGCAAATTCTAATTACGAAAAGATAAAAGGAAAAGTTTTGGTGGGTGGCGAAAGGAAGCGAGAAGGAAGAGAAGAGAAAAGAAGAGAAGAAAGAGAGAAAGATTCTGTCTCTGCTTGTGTTTGTGGATATTCTGCCACGTAGATTGACACGTGGATTATTGTATTTTTATTTTGTCGGTTCCACTGCCATCTCATCTTTTTCTTTCTATAAATCAGCCAGGCAAGTTTATGTATATCCGGCTAATCAGGTTTGTAGTATCCAATAATATTATACGTGATAAATTATGGTTTGTTGATTTTTCATCTAATAATCTTTTATTATATATATATATAATATTCTTATTGAGATGTGTAATAGTATCGTATAGTCTTAGACTATTTGCCCCATCATGTCTTGTTTGATTGTGGATATTCTGCCAAGTAAGTTGACACGTGGAATATTTGTGTTTTTACTCTGCAGCTCTCACTGCCACCTATCATTTTTTCAATTTTTCCGTTTATGAATTTATATCCATTTAATCACATTTATATACATAAACTTTGTTTGATATAGAATTTAAATATTTTTTCTTTTATTTTGGAAAACAATGAATACAAAAACCTTATGAAAGATGTATTTGGTAGATTTGAATTGAAATATTTTCGATAACATTTTTCAGATATAACCCTAAAAATTGTTATAGAATTAGAAAACAATTAAAAAGTTGTTTTTCACAATTTTATATTATTTTTATTAGAAAACAGTTTTTAACTATCATATTAAACAATTTTTCAAATATTAAAAATGCCAAGATATGACACAAAATTTTGAATCGTATTTCAGTTTTTGAAAATTAGTTTTGAATCGTAAATTAATTTTTTATTTGCCCAATCACGTCTTATATACAAGTTATAAATACTAATGTGGTGAGTCATGATTGAATCAGGTGCTTATATTATTAAAGAATTTTTACAATTTCGTTATAGGTAAATTTCATGAAATGTATGGGTTTCTTTAGGGTCAGAGATTACTTGGTTCGTAACATTACATTATATGTTTATTTAATGACATTGTCTTTTCTTTTAAAATAAACCATTATAGTGGTAGGTAATTGTAGGGAAGAGAAAATATATACGTAAATGATGAGATATTATTGGATATATAAACACAAGTATAATTGAACTTGTTTTTCATCTCAAAAGCTTTTGTGAGTATATCAACGTCAACCTAAATTCATTGAATTATCAATATGAGGTGTATTTTCATCTGTCTTTAGAGTTAGGTTAAATTCGTCAATCTAAAATGTCTGTGTAGCCAATGACATATTATTAGGGATTTATTATACTTAGAATACTAATGTATAAATGATAAGTTAATATCATAAAAGATATGATAATAACATACCGATATCACGTCGATTTTGCATACTATTTATAGTAAAAATCATATATGCATTAATCTTCTATTGTTTGTGTGAACAATTTATGTGATCGAAGATCTTCAAGATAGATGTATAATTATCTTATAGATGGTATGGTATTTATTTTATTTTCTTGTNTATTATTCTTATTGAGATGTGTAATAGTATCGTATAGTCTTAGACTATTTGCCCCATCATGTCTTGTTTGATTGTGGATATTCTGCCAAGTGAGTTGACACGTGGAATATTTGTGTTTTTATTCCGCAGGTCTCACTGCCACCTATCATTTTTTCAATTTTTCCGTTTATTGGTGCGCATGAATTTATATCCATTTAATCACATTTATATACATAAACTTTGTTTGATATAGAATTTAAATATTTTTTCTTTTATTTTGGAAAACAATGAATACAAAAACCTTATGAAAGATGTATTTGGTAGATTTGAATTGAAATATTTTCGATAACATTTTTCAGATATAACCCTAAAAATTGTTATAGAATTAGAAAACAATTAAAAAGTTGTTTTTCACAATTTTATATTATTTTTATTAGAAAACAGTTTTTAACTATCATATTAAACAATTTTTCAAATATTAAAAATGACAAGATATGACACAAAATTTTGAATCCTATTTCAGTTTTTGAAAATTAGTTTTGAATCGTAAATTAATTTTTTATTTGCCCAATCACGTCTTATATACAATTTATAAATACTAATGTGGCGTGCCATGATTGAACCAGGTGCTTATATTATTAAAGAATTCTTACAATTTCGTTATAAGTAAATTTCATGAAATGTATGGGTTTCTTTAGGGTCAGAGATTACTTGGTTCGTAACATTACATTATATGTTTATTTAATGACATTGTCTTTTCTTTTAAAATAAACCATTATAGTGGTAGGTAATTGTAGGGAAGAGAAAATATATACGTAAATGATGAGATATTATTGGATATATAAACACAAGTATAATTGAACTTGTTTTTCATCTCAAAAGCTTTTGTGAGTATATCAACGTCAACCTAAATTCATTGAATTATCAATACGAGGTATATTTTCATTTGTCTTTTGAGTTAGGTTAAATTCGTCAATCTAAACGTCTATGTAGCCAATGACATATTATTAGGGATTTATTATACTTAGAATACTAATGTATAAATGATAAGTTAATATCATAAAAGATATGATAATAACATACCGATATCACGTCGATTTTGCATACTATTTATAGTTCAAATCATATATGCATTAATCTTCTATTGTTTGTGTGAACAATTTATGTGATCGAAGATCTTCGAGATAGATGTATAATTATCTTATAGATGGTATGGTATTTATTTTATTTTCTTGTGATCGGGGGTGTTCGGGTCAGCTTGTGCGCACCTCAATTAATCTTTCAGGGTCTTGAAGTTGATAGCTAAATAAATCTTCTTAGTAATCACCTCTATTAGCAACCTAGGTGAATCGAACACATGACCTCTTGAATAATACACCCAAGAGTCATAATTGACCACTGGGGCCACTTAGTGATGGTTGATGGTATGGTATTTCATTGTTTGCGAACTCTCTCTTGGCAACAAACTATAGACTATCGTACCATGAAAAATGATTTTCAAATTTCTAACTAGACGAATAATTTTGACGAAAAAATCTAGAATCCCACTATGGTACCATATCATCCACACCACGATTAAGTGAATTTTTGTCACATCTAAATTCTCTCTCTCTCTCTCTCTCTCTCTCTCTCTCTCTCTCTCTCTCTCTCTCTCTCTCTCTCGTTTATCCTTAGATTAATTATGATTAATAGTTACTAAATATAATAATAACTTAACCTGCATGAATTGACTTATGGTACCACGTCAATATTACTATCGCTGTATCATAGACTTTTTTGTTAATAAGATATAAAAATTACAATAAAAACTCGAAAACCCTAATAACTTTTTTATCGTGTGTGTGTGTGTTCTTCCACTTTCTCTCTCTAGTGTATTTGGTGGTGTTGATGATGGCTGATGGGTGGCCGCCTGGTGAGTGGTGGTTGAAACATGCACCATCACCAAGTGGGTTATGTTTGTGGAGGACGGTGGCAAAGTGGAAACTACGTGGGCCTTGGGTAAGGCCCATCACGTTTGTGCTTTTGCTAAATTGCCACTAGTATTTTGGGATGACATATAGTTGTTTGTAGAGATTTCACCAAATAATTTTGGGACGGTTTGATATAGAACTTAAATGCAATTTTTTTTCTTTTTTTTTTTTTTTTGTTTCAAGAAATAAAAAATATAAAAAGTCTTATGAAACCATGTTTCATTGAAATGAGTTAGAATGTGTTTTAAAATAGTATAATTATAAAAAGATTTTTAGTCGTTTTTACGGTTTTTTATAGCTTTGATTTTAAAATATTTTTTTAATATATTATTAAAAAAAATTAAAATATTAAAATTATTAAGATACAATTCAAATATTTGTTAATTATATTTTAGTCCTTGAAAATTGTTTTCGGATCATAAACCAAATTGACCCGAAAAATTATTTAAGTTGATTGCCCATCTAGTTACTCGATCAAGAAACAAAAAGGAAAAATGAAAATTTTAAGAGGAATAGAAAAAAAAAAAAATGATAGGAGGGACATTTTTCATTGTTTTTTCTTTTTATATATTATAATTTCAGGTTCAAATTAGAGTCGAAATTAAAGTAGATGATTTAAGAATCACATAGTAGGGTTACCTAATTTGTAAAGTAATATTTAAAAAAAAAAAACACTTTTACATTTTTTTTTTTTTTTTTTTGCATTCGTAGATATTCATTTCTCAATACCATAACGTTTAAGTTGATTAATTTTTCCTATTATTTTTATTTGATTTTTCAAAATACTAATAATATATACAAGATTTTTTAAATTCCCAAATCTTATATATTAAGCATGGAGGATTGGTTAATTAAATATTTGTGATTTTTCATGTAAAATAATTATTTAATTTCCTTCTATGAAAAAATAAATTATTGAACTCTTGGAATCTTATTCTATCAATATTTTATTATAATAATAACTCTTACGGTAATGAAAAAGAATTATATTTTGTATTTTTATGAAAAAATAGTGGCCATGTACCTTCTTATTCTTCGTTATTGTAGTATTTTAATTTATTATCCAAAGTATGATGGTTAAAAAAATTTTTTTTTATTATAGTATTTTAATTTATTATCCAAAGTATGATGGTTAAAAAAATTTTTTTTTATTAAAATAATAGTTTAATAATCAATTAGTAACATTCGCATAAAAATTAACCATACACAAAAATTATCAACCAAAAAATAGCATATTAATAACGGTTTATTAGGTATATTAATACATCGATCATATTATTATTTTTTTTGAACGTCAAGGGACGAGTGTCCGGTCCAGCTTACATGCACCTCAATTAATTTTCCGGAATCCTAGAACTACCGCCGGTAAGAACTCCAATAGCTACCCCTATTAGCACCCGATAAAAGACTCAAACTCAGGATCTCTTAAGTAATACATTCAAGAGTTTCTATTGAACTACTCAATCACTCAGAGGTAGTTATATATCGGTCATATTTTAAACATTAAATAATTTTTTTGGTAATTAAATATTAAACATTTTTTTTGATATTTTTAGTTACCCAAAATAAAAG